AGCAAAAAAGGATGACCTGGCCCAGATTCGAACCGGGGACTCCCACAAATCCTTGTTCAGCAGACACCCAAGCAATGTGGATATGATGCCTTTCACCACCAGGTCTTTTCTCCTACTGTTATTTATACTGACTTTTTGTTGTTAAAAATGAATGGGAAAAAAAATTAAATTGAAGGCAAAAAAGGATGACCTGACCCGGGTTTGAACCAGGAACCTCCTACAAAACCCGAGTACTGGGGAAGATAGGCAGAGTAGTGTGATACATTTCACCACCAGGCCTTCCTACCTCATGTTCACAGGATATTCCTGGTACGTTTTAGGTTCCAGGTCTCCCTTCCGTAAATGCGGTCCTCAAGATCACTACCAGATCATGGATTACCAATCCTGCGGTGATTACCGTGATCTAGGTCGGTGGCTGAAAAACCTTTAAATGTGGTCCCTCAAGATCACTACCAGATCATGGATTACCAATATTTCGGTGATGCCACAATCTTGCTTTTCGGCATCACCGTCTCACTGTAAACCTTGCAACCGGCCCACGGACGAACTCGAGCCAAGCAAAAGCTCGGGCGAGGTGAGCCCAGCCCGCTGTTCTCAGCATCAGACCATTGACCCGGACCGAGGCTGCCTGAATTATTACTCCTGGAAACATGCGGAACTTTCTCAATGGTTGAGGTCAAGTATGCGTTGCAATTGCATATCCCCATACATTGGAAAGTGCTGTGTTGTATTTCTTAATCCAACATACCATTATCTGCCTCCACAGATGGTGTTACCAACAGCAAAAGGTGGACAAGATTTTGCCTGATATATATCTCACCACACATGTTCAATTAGGAAATGGAACGCAGCAATGAATATATAGATAAAACGAGATTTTATGGACATAATTTACTGCAACAACCTGTGCTGGAAAATGAGTTCAATCCGTGATACATAGGCATTGCGAGAATAACTGCTGATTTCAAAGCACCCCTAAAACCTAGATATGTATGGCGGTCAATCTGCACATTTATTATTTACGAGAATATATTGTGTTTACGTGAATTTTTCAGGCCATTTGGGTCAACAGAAATATCTTTAGGGACACCAAATGTTTCCATTCTGCCACACACCACAATTTAAATTTTCTCCCACCCATGGCAGACAACATGTTTTTGAGGCTCTTGAATGAATATATATTTTAACCTTGAGAGAAAATTTTGTACTGATTTTTTAGAAAAATCAACAAAATATTTTTCTGTTGCATTGCACATTTTTTTTTTGGGCAACATATTTTTCTCCTTTGAATAACCTTAACCTTACTACGTGGTCACACTTTGATAGTCAAGCAGCAAGTCACTTGCGTCAGCCAGCTTGTATGGCGGTCAACTTGCACCTTTATAAAATGGGTATAACACCTGTTTTAGCAAAAATAGCCCGAATTCCCCATGAAAGTTGAAGATACAGATATTTTTAGGGCTTCAACAGTATAGAAATTTTTTCAACTGAATAAAAGCTTCTCTTTCAAAGTTGTAGATAATCCTTGCGCAAAGCATAAAGTTCCAACAAAATTTTCAGAATGGTGGCTGTGCCAACCCGCCATCAGGCAGTCATGCAGCGATCAGAGGTCCAAGAAGGTCCTCAGCATCTATCAATGGGTTGAGCTGATGCTATGAGCAGCTGTGAGCACCTCTTCCACAGCTGCTCATAGGCATCAGTGTTGATGGATGTTGAGAACATCCCCTGAGGCTCTGATTGCCCTCCGTCGCTCCCGATGGCTTCCACCCCCATTAGCCGGCTGCACAGCCACTGTTCTGAAAATCATTGAACTTCATATTTTGCTGGCAACAATAGGGTGTGCAAAAATCTTTTTATTTCGGAACAAGTTTATACATGTTTTTGAATTTCTAAAAATACTTTATATTTCAACTTTTTCACGTAATCAGCAAAGTTGTGACCCAAACTGGATGTTTATACCCTGTTTATTAAAGGTGCAAGTTGACCGCCATATATAAGCTTGTGTCCCAACACCGATTGAATGCAGATGCGGATTGACACAGCCACAGCATTGCCACCTTCCTAAAATAAATATACGTAAACATTCAAAAAAAACATGCCTCGAAATGTCCACAAAAATATTTACATTTTCAATCGAGCCAAAAATATGTGTATATAAGCTCAAAAAAATTTAACCTTACGGTGAGAATTGGTCAGTAAACATTTTCCTCAACAAGACTCAATCTTATAATGTTTTTTTCCCCCGTGGCAAGCAGAAACTATTACATAGGGGTCAGGATCTCCAAAGACATTCCTGTGACCCAAATGGCCTGAAAATTCACGTAAACACGATATATTCTCGTAAAATATTAAATGTGCAGATTGACCGCCATAGATATGGTGTCCAGAAATATTATCACTGTCCTGATTGCTGGATTTCCTCCAGAAGGCAACTAGCTAGGAGGTACAGGGACAGGTCAGCGGTACCAGGGTGCCCGGAGGGCCATATGAATTTATACATGACTTTTGAGGAAAAATACATGGAAGGGAAAAAATAACTGAGAGACGAACTATGACCTGGCCCGGATTTGAACTGGGGACCCCCACACAAAGTATTCATATTGTCGACAGAGATAAAGTGGGTTGATGCCTTCACCACCGGGTCTTCCTACCTCCCTTTCAAAGGTGTATTTATACTAGAATTTTGGAGGCAAAAAATGCACAAGAAAAAAAAAAGCACCGGAACCGATGAATGACCTGGCCCAGACTCGAACTGGGACCTCCCATAAATACAACGAGCGCCAATCCAATAAGGCAAACAGGTGTGATAACATTTCACCACCAGGTCTTCCTACCTCCCTTCAAAGTGTATTTATACTGACTTTTTGTCGTAAAAACTAAAGGAAAAAAAGATTAAATTGAAAGCAAAGCAAAAAAGGATGACCTAGCCCAGATTTGAACTGGGGATTCCCACAAATCAATTGTACAAATTGGATCTTAAGTAGGGTGGATGTGATTCTTTCACCAGGTCTTATTCCCTCTTTAGAAGGTGTATTTATACAGAGTTTTGAAAGTAAAAAATAAATGGTACAAAAAACAGTCAATGATATAAATTATGACCTGGCCCGGATTCAAACCAGGGATTCCCACAAACAATTTTCCTATGAACATATAACTGTGATGGTATAATACATTTCACCACCAGGTCTTATCCCCTCCCTTTCAAAGGTGTATTATACTAGATTTTGCTGTAAAATGCACGGGAAAAAAAAGTTAAAGGAAAGGATAATCAATGACCTGACCCAGATTCGAACCAGGACTCCATAAAACCTCGTGCACCTCAAATCAGAAGTGGAATGGGTGTGATAATTTCACCACAGGTCACACTCCCCTCTTAATGTGCTGTATTTATACTAGACTTTTGTCGTAAAAACTGAAGGAAAAAAAGATTAAATTGAAACCAACTCCATGACTGGCCGGCTCGAACCGGGGATTCCCACAAATGCATTGATCCATTTCAACTACGGCAGGTTGATTCATTTCACCACCAGGTCATATTCCCTCTTTTCACGAGGTGTATTATACTAGACTTTCTTGCTGTAAATGCATGGCAAAAAAAGATTAAATGGAAAGCAAAACGATGAATGACCTGGCCCAGATTCGACCCAGGGATTCCACAAATTATCACAATACACCAAATGCAAGTAGAGTGGGTGTGACGCCTTTCCACCAGGTCTTGTTATCCTCTTACCAAGGTGTATTTATTAGACTTTTTGCTGTAAAACAGCATGGGAAAAAAAAGGTTACATTGAAAGTAATGCAGTATTACAGGAGATCCCGAAAATAATGCAAATCACGAATTTTTTTTTGGCGCTTCCCAAAAGGAAATGAGCGTATCTTTCCCCTTTGGCCGTTTCTGCAGCTGCAACACCTTTTGCAACATATTATGAGGCTGTGAAAGCTTCGCCTGTACTATTGTAACGTTTCTGGTGTATTTTACCCATGAAGAGATCATTCATTCATGCTCTAAGTATGACAAGCAAGCAAGTAAGTTACCGCACAGAGATGCTTCGTTATCCATGAGGCGTCATTGTAGCGACGCGCCACTGCGTCACTTTCTTCGGCAGTCGAGACACCACTGCATCCTCCCCATGATTCTGCGGGGCATCAAGTTTATGGCAGGGACCCGGTGCGAGTCCTACGCTAGCGGGATAGAAGAGCTGTGAAGGGCGAGCAGCGTCGAGATTGAGGGACATGCAGCAACATCTCACGAATGGATTCCACGGCATAACGTCTGTGCTACGAGAGCATGTCCTGTGGCTTCAACCCGCTGGTCCGAGAGCAGCAGAGGTCTGCAGCGGGGGCGTCAACGTCCGCCGGGTTGGATACGGGCCTACTGAGCTGTGCAGACAGTCTTTTGAGTCTATCCCACAACAGCCACGGCGCCAGCACCACATGCGCCACTCACCCTCAATCCCTTTGCGTGCAGCATCCACTCTTCCGTCGTGCCCGCACTGGTGCCTGCTGGATTGGTGGACTTGGTGGATGGTGCGGGGAGCATGATGCTCTTGATGCGCTGCACAGACCACTCGACGATGCCGGGGAATGCTAGAGCAGGAGGATGGTAGGAGCTAGGAGCCACAGCAAAGACGGATTGACAGCATCCGAGTCCAAGTATGAGTAGAACGAGGGCGGACACCGAGTCTCGTAATGGACACCAATGTCTAGGCACGCAATGCGTGTGCTGCAAAGTAGCATATGCACATCTGTTGTTGACCAGCAAAGGCACCGGCCAGCGCGAGGGAGGTCGAGTTGACACAGGCATGCCCAAAATACAGGTAGTCGATGCCAAGGCCCTGCGCAACTCAAAGGAGGGTGAATGCGAGGCACGGCCAAAGAGCCCGAAACTGTAGGACAAACAGCCAACATTCAACACTCATTGCGCTGGGAAACGTATGTCGGGCAGTGCGAGGCTCGGACGAGATTCAAATCATAATAACTGCTGGGAGACGATGGGCAGGAGGTGAGGAGGTGGAACGCATTAGACGAACCCCAAGACACACATTACTTCCGAAATTCTGCAGTCTTCAGTGGTGGACAAAGTTTCCCGCTCTACCCAATCTCCGCCCAAAATTTATGTGCGGGGTCATGTGGCTTGTGTGCATATAGGTTCTGTAATGACACAGGCTCTTGTCTCCGTGAAAACATGTAGAAAGAGGATGGGCGCAGATAAGGAAAGCAGGGATCGAACGACAGAATGAGTTGTTGGGTCGATTCGGGAGCCAAAATATGGCCAACATGCATGCCTGGGTGTCCTACGGCCTCAGCCAGGCACATTCCTGCGTAATTCGAGCGACTACGGTGAGAGAAGAGGCAGAAAGAAACGATACACGAGGATTTCCTTTTTGGGAAGCGCAAAAAAAAAAATCTCGTGATTGTCATTATTTTCGGGATCTCCTGTAATGACCTGACCTGGATTCGAACCAGGGATTCCCACAAATACAGATATTACATGCCCCGCCAGGCAAAGTAGGTGTGATGTGGTTCACCACCAGGTCTTATTATCATGGGTGATGAACTGTATTTATACTAGACTTTCTTGCTGTAAAATGAGTGGAAGACAAAAAAGGTTCCTGATCAAATGGCCTATGACCTGGCCTGGACTCGAACCGGGGACCCCTGCAAATATCTCTCTTTCAGTCATGGCAGGCAAAGCAGGCGTGATACATTTCACCACCAGGTCATATTCCCCCTCTCTAGAAGGTGTATTTATACTACACTTTTCGGAGGGAAAAAATGCACAAGAAAAAAAAAATGCCACCAAGAATGACAATGACCTGGCCCGGATTCAAACTGGAGACCTCCCATAAATACCAATCCGAATAAGGCAAACAGGCATGATTCATTTCACCACCAGGTCATATTCCCTTCCCTTTCAAAGGTGTATTATACCAGCCATTCTTGCTGCAAAATGCATGGGGAAAAAAAGATTAAATTGAGAGCAAAAAAAAATGACCTGGCCTAGACTCGAACTGGGAACTCCCACAAATACATATGTCAACAATATTTTAAGCAGTGTGGATGTGATGCCTTTCACTACCAGGTCTTCCTACCTCCTTTTCAAAGGTGTTGTCAAGACAAGCCCTGGGTTGACCTGGCTGTGGCGGGACAGTGAATAACCTGGCCAGGACGATAGTCGAATAACCCGGTCTGAAGTGATCGCGGCTGACAACGAGGGCAGCGCTGAACAACCCGGCTCTACTGGGGAAGTTTGGCTGTAGCTGTTGAGGTGAAGTGTTGTGAGACTTGGAAGAGGCAGCAGAGTAACCGCCTGGTCACCGAACTCGAGGGTAACTCGAGGAGAAGATGATATGTATACGAGTGTCGTGCGTAGTCGTGGTGAGAGAGTGCTGCGCCGTTGTCAGGTCAAAGTAGACTTGTATTAGACGAGGTAGAATCTAAAGTACATGTAGATTCTACGGGGTTTTATATACTGCATCTTGTGAAACTGATGGTTGTCTCTTTGTGAAATACAAACGCTCCTAGATGTTCGATCTTGGCGATCGGGGTATCCTGATCGTCGTTTGAATAACCCCTGGTTGGTTATTGCGGACCCGATCGCCTCAAGCAAATATGAATAACCCCCTGTTGGTTATTCCGTATGTGTTGTCTTGTTCTAGATTGCAAATATAACATATTTGCCAATCTTTTGCTTGTGATAACCCGGGGTAAGTTTGAGTGAAAAATGTTGCGAGTATGCCAAATCATGACAGGTGTATTTATACTAGACTTTTTGTCGTAAAAACTGAGCGAGAAAAAAGAATGGATGAGAAGGAACATGACCTGACCTGGACTCGAACCAAGGACTCCCACGGCAGGCAATTGCAACAACCATAGGCAGAGTGGGTGTGATACATTTCACCACCAGGTCATTATCCCCACTCTAACAAGGTGTATTTATACTGACTTTCAGCCAACTTGACCACAATTCTTTATGGAAAATAAAATAAACCAAAAAAAAAAAGGGTACTGGAATATGGCAGTCCTGAGTATGTGTCAGTCCGAGATGTCAAATAATCAAATAATCGAATTTAAACAGAAGAAAAAAAGTATGGCCTAGCCTGAATTTGAACCAGGGACTCCAACAAACACTATTTTCATAGCTGTGCCAAACAAAGTAGGTGTGATCCATTCACCACCAGGTCTTATCCCCTCCTTTTCAAAGGTGTATTTATACAGAGTTTCTGTTGTAAAAAAAGACATAAAAATGGGTAGAAAAGATCATTGAGAAAAACTGCATGGCCTGGCCTGGATTCGAACCAGGGATTTCCACAACAACGAGTTTGGTGATGTAGGCAGAGTGGGCGTGATTCATTTCACCACCAGGTCTTCCTACCTCCCGCAATAGGCTGTATTTATACTACACTTTTTGAATGGCGAAAAAAAATGCACGGGAAAAAAAAGATTAAATTGAAAGCAAAAAAGAATGACCTGGATTCGAACCAGGGATTCCCACAAATTATCACAGTACACCAAATGCAAGTAGAGTGGGTGTGATACATTTCACCACCAGGTCATGTTCCCCCTCTTCACGAGGTGTATTTATACTAGACTTCGGAGGCAAAAATGCATGAGAGGCAAAAAAATTGGGAGATGAAAGCAAAAGAATGACCAGACCCAGATTTGAACTGGGGATTCCCACAAAATGCATTTAGAATTCTCTGACACAGAATGGGTGTGATTCATTTCACCACCAGGTCTTCCTACCTCCTCTCATAAGGTGTATTTATACCTGACTTTTTGGAGGAAAAATACATGGGACAGAGCAAAAATAACAGAGGAAGGAACTATAACCTGACCCAGATTCGAACCGGGAACCCTCACAAATAGCCCATTGGGCCCATTCAACTAGGGTGGGTGTGATACATTTCACCACCAGGTCTTATTATCATGGGTTATGGGCTGTATAATACCTGTATGTATGCCCCAATTTTTTTATGTAGAAAATGCATGAGAAAAAAAAGATTGAATTGAAAGCCACACCATAACTGGACCTGGGTTCGAACTGGGGCTCCCACAACACACATCAATTGAAGGGTGGGTGGGAAACGATTCACATTGTTTGAAACTGGGCTGGCCTGGGTCAGTCACCGATGTCAAGATATTCAAAAACTCAGATCTATGGATGTGATGGCACTCGTATTTCGAAAACGGCAAGTACATTCTTGTTGATAAAGGTGGTAGTGCAGCTCACATCGGTGTGGCTTGACACTAATCTCATCTGTTAGGCTACCCATCCAGCCCATTCACTGTCCACCCTTTCGACGAGCCTGAGATTGCTGTGGCATCAGACGAGGACAAACAGTGCATGCGTGTGATGTGGACTGCAGTTTCTTGACTGTCAGACGAATGTTACGTCTGTGGTTACAGTACTGCAGAAAAGGTATCGTCCTCTAGGGGGAAATTTGTGTAGCAAGTGTCGGGTGGTTTTTATTCCTCCGAAGTACAATGGGTTAAGTTTACAAGGGATAGATCTTTGGATGGGTGGGCAGGATCTGTTATTTACAGGCTTTCAGCACAGAGCACTGAGAAGCCTTGGTGCGCTGGGGGGGTGGAGTTCGCTCCTTTTCAGCCTTCCAGGGTCCGATAACTCGGTTGCGTATCCTATACAGGCTCCTTTCAGGGAGGACGGAGGAGTCGTGGATAGAGTCGCATTTCTTCCTCTGGGTGTTTGCTCTGTGCAGTGGGTGGGATTTTCTGTGCTGTGGTTTCATTTCTCCATTTTGATCTTCTTCTCCATTTAATGTGCGGGACCTCGGGGCCTGTTTCGAATCTCGTAGCCTAAACTCTGCAATTCCCTTCCTTTGGGACCCCTTTCTTTATGTCTCCGCTTCAACCTCGAGGCGAGATATTCGCTGACGAGGTGATTGGTAGATGGCTATGAGGACTGGATTTCTCGAGTTGTCCCAAGTCAAAGACCGTTTGCCTTCGATACTACTCGGTCGGAACAGTTACACGCTAACAGAAATTCTGTTGCTGGCTGTTTAGATACCACTCCACCTTCGGTACATGGTGTTTTATCATTTTCAGGATCTCCTATATGACCTGGTCCTTTTTCGGTCGGAGTTCCCTACCGGAAGTGACTAATTGGCCACTCCTTGCGCTCTGGGTTTGTGTTAACCTGTACTTTGTGGTACTTCGGTTTGTGTCCGTCTCGTGTCCGAAGACAGAGGAAGAGTTTCTTTCTCAGCTTGTGAAAGCCTTAGGAATTTAGGTGGGGAAATACAAGATGCCATTCTCGAATAATACACTAGTTTTTTATACTCTTTACCCAGCCACCAGCACATTGTCCCGACATGTTCTTCATTCTAGACACAGCCTTCAGCCCACAAGGTAGCTCCTACCCCCTTTCGGCCTGAAGGAGTCTGTTCCTCCTCTCCTTTGCTGGTGAAGCGCCCATTGACGGAGGTACTCCTATAGCACCGCAATCAGCCTGGTCAAGCTCATCTTGTGTTGTAGAACCCATTTCTCCTTTGTCCTGTTACTTTTCCTCGAGTTGGTTATCTCCTTTCCAGTGTGGAGACCATTTTACAGCGCAGTTCTCGAGATGGTCAAATTCTTTCACTGCGGAATTTGTCCCCTTGCTGCGTTGGTGTCATTCTTGATTTGTTTCACCCATTCCTCCTTGTCGGAATTCATCTCCTCATCATATCAGTACCATTCTTGACTTGGTTGGCCTATTCTTCCCTGACGGAATTCATCTCCTTGTCATATTGATACCATTCTCGACTTGGTTGGCCTATTCCTCCTGAATGGAGTTCATCTCCTTGTCATATTGATACCATTCTTGACTTGGTTGGCCTATTCCTCCTGGATGGAGTTCATCTCCTCGTCATATTAGTACCATTTTGACTTGGTTGGTCTACTCCTCCTTGATGGAATTCCTCTCCTCGTCGTATCAGTACCATTCTCGACTTGGTTGGTCCACTCCTTGGCAGCTGTTCTCCGAGCTCCATATCCATACCCTACTCATCCTATAACCTGTTTTTATCACGTTCGGCGCCTGGCTCAGCTTTGCCGGTGAGGTGAAGCAGAGCGAGGCGAAGCGGAGGGAGCACGAGGCGGGGGGAAGCATGGTGGAGGGGAAGCACGAGGTGGAGAGCGCACGAGCGAAGTCAGCGAGGTGGGGCAAGGGAACAGTGAGCGGGCAGCGAGCAGGTGCATGGGAAAACAGCGAGCGGTGCAAGGCGGAAATGCGGCGAGCGGATGTGCAGGTGAAGGGATACAAGTGAGCGGTGCAAGGCGGAAAGGAGGCGAGCAGGCGCATGAGCGAACTTTTAAAGCAGTGTTGCAGAGGTGGTGCAAATTGAAGTGCAAAGTGTGTAGCGCGGCGGAGAAATACGAAAAAGGGAGGGGACGCAAGAACAGGGAATTCTATGTGAACGGAGTCGCATTTTGCAGCGGTCTCAAATGCGGATTGCCAGTGTCACCTTTACCAACACTATTCGCTGTGTATTATTGCAGTTCCGCTGGCGTTTTTATCCCGCAAGTCCTTTATGTCCGTTTTGAAGTTTCTCTCTGCTATCCGTCTGCACTATTGTTTTATGTCCCGCTTTTTTTGGTCTCCTCTTTATTCTTGTTGCGCATTTGTGTGGTCGCCAGAGTCGACACATAGTGGAGGCTCACAGCAGGCCTTCAATCTTCGCCTTTCTTCTGTTCATATTGTAATTGAACTGCCTTCGGTTTTTCAAAGGCCAATTCCCTTCTCTTCGAGCAATGGCCCCCACCAATACATCCAAGATTTGGACAAGACAATTGAAGCCCTGATGGTTTTACACAACATGGCGATCAACTTCAAAGATCGCCCCAGCAATGAGTGGCGCATTGACGAGACTCCTGATGACCAGGATGATGAAACAGATGACAACGAAGATGAAGAGCTGATGGTTTCTGAGGTTGTGGGGGAGGCACGCGTGCCAGCATACAGACAGACAATTACCTGAAAGAGCGGGAAGAATCAAACGGCTTGCGTTGCTCGATTAGATTGTTTTAAACTCAATATACCAAATGTTAGGTACACTGTTGCACTGAGGTATTCCGAGGATCCATCTGTCTTAGGAAATGGAGTGAATGTGCAGTTGTTGCCATCATGTCGAGCTGTGTGTATGTCCGAGAACCTTGACGAGATGTCGTAAGAGTGGGATGTAAGAAGGACCCAGCCCAGGCTGAGTGCTTACCTGTCAACTGGTGAGTATGAACGTGCAAAGTCGTGTGCCTGTACAAGGAGAAGGAGAAGAGCGAAGGTATGCAAGGTCACAAGAAATCACACGCGGAGATCAGACCTTCGGCGATCAAAGGATCAAATGTTTTTTGTATTAAATGGCGACCTGACAGGTCAACCTAAGAATTGAGCACCCTAATGGACAATTGACAAGTATTTCAATTAGGGTGGGTGTGATTCATTTCACCACCAGGTCTTCCTACCTCCCTTCTCAAGGTGTATTCATGCTAGATTTTTCGAGGCAACAAAAATAATAGGAGGGGCCAAAAAAAAAAGCTGGGATAATTGATGCAAATGACCTGACCCAGATTCGAGCTGGGGACTCCCACAACAACTGAGTTTAACAACATGCAGGGAAGTGGACAGGATACATTTCACCACCAGTCATATTCCCCCTCTTCACAAGGTGTATTTATGTGAGAGTTTTGCTGTAAAAAAATGCATGGGAAAAAAAGATTAAATTGAAAGCAAAAAGGACGACCTAGCCCGGATTCAAACCAGGGACTCCCACAAGTACTTGGGAAAAGAATTTATCAGACAGAGTGGGTGTGATACATTTCATCACCAGGTCTTATTATCCCTCTTTAGAAGGTGTATTTATACAGTTTTGTTGTAAAAAGATGTAAAATTGATAGGAAAAATATATGAAT